AATTTTTCATCTCTTATTCAAATTCTATTTGTGAATTAATTTTTTTATTATAATTGTATTGTTTACATTAGGGTTTTTAAAATATCATATTTTGTTTATAATTACAAATTTAGTTTTAATTTTATAATTATTTTAGGTTAGGGTTTGTTATTCAAAATTTAGTCATTTGTTTTAACAAATTTAATTATATTCCTTAAACTTTTAGTGAATCAATATTGTGCTTATTAATTGTTTAATATGTTATTTTATATATTGTAAGTTTTATAGGAGGAATGAATTTATGCTTATTAATTGTTATATTTTACATATTGTTAATGTTACATGAGGATTGATTGTGTATGTATTGTGTATGTTGCGTTGTTGAATATTGTAGTTGTTCCGATCCATTTATATTATATTTTTTATATTATATTTTTAATTTTGTTTGTAATGAATTATATAACTTAATAGTATGTTAATTTTAATTATTTGTTTGAATTTCTCAGAATGAGTGACTTTCACGAAAATCGAGATTGGATGTATAAAAGACTTGATAGCTCAAGTTTTATAAATACAGACTGAGTTGACAAAGTTAGATAATTCATTGAGTTTTGTGAGTCAAATCCAAAAGTAGACAGATTCAACGGGCAGATGCGTTGTCCTTGTAAGATTTGTAAGAATAAATATTTTAAATATATCGAGGACATTAAGCTTCATGTACTGAGACAAGGTTTCACTCCTAAATATCTTGATTGGGTTTGCCACGGGGAGGAACATGGTGACTATACGAGCCATCATCGACGCTGTAAATCTGCTCGTACCTTTGTTTAAACCGAAAGGGCAGAATACATGAATATGGTGATTGATGCTGCGGGGCCTTCCTTTAATCCTAACGTTCGAGTTGAGGAGGAACCAAATGCTAGTGACAAAAAAAATTTTGACATGCTAAAAGCCGCTGATACCGACTTATGGAAAGGTTGCACTAAAATGTCCCAACTCTCGATGGTTGCAAGATTACTCAATATTAAGGCAGAGCACAATTTGTCTGAGAGGTGTTACGACACTATTTTCTAACATGTCTGGTCTAACTTCTTTTTTTTAAATTTAGAAACATGCCACTTGGGGCCCTCGCATTGATGATAGCATTATGTTTCGTGTTTGGCGATCGAAGGCTAGAAGACGATACACCGACTGGCTCTCATCTATTAGGAATGAGAAGAAAGGAACAGAGAAGGTGCGGCCACTTGTACCGCAATCGTGGAAGGAGGTATTTCTAAATATCTTTTGAATTGATGAGTTATGTTATACTTAGCATCAAATTTGTGTATATATTTGTATTCTTGTATTTATATGTTGTTAAACAGTATTGGAAGTCACCAAAGTTCTTGGCATCCTCCAAGCAAAACAAGAAAAATCGGCGTGGCGGTGACGAGAATGCCCCTGCTAGCGCCACGCACACCGGTGGTCCATTGTCTTTTCGCGAGACTCAAGCGCGCCTTGTAAGTATTGTTACTAACAAAAATTACATTTAAATGTTCTAAGTGACATATTTTCACTTATTTTTATATTTTATTTTTTTAGGGTAAAAGTGGAAAGGCTTCTGACTTGTACTCTTCGTACACACACACATACGAAGAAACATGATGGGAAGACCTACATCAATAAGAAGGCAGAAGAAGTATCAGTAAGTGACAATGAATATATATAATGTATATATAAATGATTAGTTTTCGTTGGATTCAATTGAATGTGAATTCATAGTGCTCATTTTATTTTGCTTTTTATGTCACAAAGTATATATACATGTATGTTTTGTGTATTGCAGCAAAACTACGTAGCCATGCAGGAGGCAGTTCGTGAAGAAGGCTTAAATGTGACACCTGACGAGATGTTTCTATCTACAGTCGGAGGACATGATGCCAAGAATCGTGTTCATGGTGTTGGAGATCTCGCACGGAGCCTACCACGAATGCATGCAAGTGAGGCAAGGCGTGCTAGCACCAGCTCTATGTGGGACCCTCGAGATGATGAGATCCGGAGGTTGAGAGAAGAGCTAGATGAAATTAGAACTTCCTAAGCGCGTGAATTGTTGTCGATTAGAGAATAGATGACCCGACTTTATGGAGGAGTTTTCCCACGTGGAAATAGAGATGGCGGTGGAGATGGAGGAGGGGCGGGGTTTGCAGAGGCTTGTTGAGTGTTTTATTAGAATTGAAGAACAATATATTAAACTTAAGTTTTATGGTTATGTAAGTGGAGTTAGATTTGATTGTTATGTTGAATTTTTATAAATATTATTTAAAATTTAGTTGTACATTGGTGACTTGAATATTCTTGGCTGTTTGGTAATCTTCATTTCCAGTAATTGTTGTTGTTTGATGCTGGGATTTCTGAGCTTTGCTATGTATGTGTGCAAAATTGAAAAGCTGCAGCTTCCTGGTTGTAACCTGTCAAATTGGCGACGGAATTGCATTTTCGTCGCTATGTGGTCAAAATGCATATTCCGTCGCTATTTCCGTCGTTCGGCCTAGCGAGGATATTTTCCGTCGTGAGTTCCGTCGCTTATTTCCGTCGCCACTTCCGTCGTAGGCTAGCGACGGAATCAAAAATCCGTCGCCACATTTACTACTAACGAAAAATTAACGACGGAATAGATTCCGTCGTTATTTCCGTTGTTACGAAGATTACCTACGGAAATAAGGCTTTGGCGACGGAATTATTCCGTCGCCATTTGAACAGTTTTTTGTAGTGAATTATCGAGTTCCATCTCCGTAATTAGTTCATTTTCGGGACTGATTTGGGAAAATACGTAATTAGTGAATACCATTTAGGAAATTTAATCTAGACATATATCAAATCTTAAAACTGAATTTCCAGTTTTAAACAAGACCAACAAATAAAGCCAATCCAACACTCCAACCCAGTCTAGATCAGTATGCTTCAATTCCGATCTTCTAATTTCGATCTATTCTAGTCTCGTTTTGGACCGGTCAGCAGCACTAGAAGCTTAGGAATATGACAAATTTGTCCCACAAATAGGTATAGTAATTATGTATAAGCATGTTGGCATGTAACAAGAAAGTCACCTTAAACTTTTCAATCTTTTTTTACCCCAGGCAACTTTTTTTCACTCCCAAACAAATTCCAACCATATTTTTTAATTTTCCTCATTTTTTTAGATCCATAACATTTTAACATGAACTTAATTTGAGGACGGAGGAATAAGATCGCTAGTCCGCTGAATAATTTGGCATAGTGCCAAAGAAATCACCTCAAATTTCTCCACATCCAAGTTGCATTCACACACTTAAGAGATTGAAATTATATGATTGAACAGATAGTACACTAGTGAAAATAAGAGCTGCGAAAAAATAATTCTTGTAATTATGACATGTAAAATGAGATGGCACGAGAATATGAGACACTTTCCATATCTACCCTCCGTTCCCAATTTAAAATCACTTTTTTCGTCTGTCACAAAATAAATTGTATATACTTTTCCACTTCCTTTTTCAAGAATAAAATATGTTACTCTTAACAGCTCCCTCCCAAATAAATTATAACCATACTTTTTTAAGTCCCAACATTTTTTTAAAAAAATTCATGACATCGAAACATGAATTTAATTCAAGAACGGAGGGAGTATAGGGAAAATTGCATGTAGTCCACATACAAATACAAATATACAATGGCCACAATGTAATCCATACCCAACACTGCCAAATGATTTGCTTATGTAAAAATATGACAAAAAACTTATTAAAAATGTTAAGAACATTCAAATCTATAAAAGCAACTAATAGTAGAAGCATGTTGAGGTAGTGTTAAGGAAGCCACCCCAAGCTTCACCACCTTTAATGTTCGAGCCCCACCTTTGCGCTTAAGAGGCTGAGATATTAAGATTGAAGAGATACTACACTAACGGGTCTGAAAGCTATTTAAATAATAATAATAACGGCAACCAATATTCCAATAGAAGTTTTAGGAAATAAAATATGGCCAAATAGCATCAATACCCCTCGTGGTTTGCAAAACAGGCACCAATACCCTTCTGTTTTCAAAACTTATTTTTAAAGTCCCTGTGGTTTCAAAATGCTCCACTCGTGCCCCTCTGAACATTTTCCGGCATTTTTCCGGCGAAAAAGGAGGGCATTGGGCATATTTTCTAAACCATAGGGGGTATCAGTGCTAATTTTTATTTCTCGTTTATTTTTTTTCCATTTTCCATTTTTTGTTTCATTTATTAATTAGGGTTTTTTAAAATTGTTTTTATAATATTCTTAAAATTTAAAGTTATTTTTGTTTGAAAAATAAAATATAATGCATATGTATGTCTGAAATTAAAAATTTTTGTTTTTCTGGAAAAAGAATTTTTTTTTGAGAACTTCGAAAAAATGAGGAATAAAATAAGAAAAAAATAATACAAAAAATAAAATGAATATCTTTTTTGGACATCTCAATTCTAAGGACTTTTTTAGGCGTGTCCAAATTTTTTTGTATAAGACTTTTTTTTGTGTATTTTAATTTTTTTTTTCATTTCGTTTTTCCGTATTTTTATTTTTTTTATTCTGGGTTTTTTTGAAGTTTCCAAAAAATTATTCTAAAAAACAAAAAGTGAAATTTTTTAATTTAAGATAGATGTAATGTATGTTAATTTTTTTATTTTTATTTTTATTTCAAACACAAAGAATTTTAAAATTTTTAAAACATTATAAAAATTGAAAATATATTTTTTAAAAAAAATCTAGAAAAAGGAAAAAGAGATACAAATATTTAAAAAAAGGGAAAACACAAATAATAAACTAAAATAAGAAATGAGCATGAATGCCCCCTATGATTTAGAAATTATGCGCCAATGCCCACTCTTCGCCAGAAAATGGCCGGAAAATGAACAGAGGGGGTGTGGGGGCAATGTTTTGAAACCACGGGGACTTTAGAAATAAGTTTTGATGGTGCCAATTTTCCAAACCACAAGGGGCACCGGAGCTATTTGGCCAATAAAATATTATTATTTTATTCTATTCTAATTAAGATTCTCCATTTATTCTTTATAAATACTGATGTAATTCTCATAGTTCAATAAGATTGGTTATTATTAAATTGTATCAGCAAAAAAAGTACTAAAACCAAAATGCATATCACATTTGAAATGTAGTTATGTACAATCATTCATGGAATCATTGGCTACTTGTTGAGAAACAGCATCATCCTGTGAATGCGAATGCAGAAGAGCAATGGGTCACAAAGGGTATTATGACAGCTTAAACCATCGTTGATTTAATTAAAATGGAAACCATGATGATGAATGATGATGATGATGAATTAAAAGGGTATATAGGCATTTGGCATACCAGAGAGAGACCCAGAGCTTCGGCCACACCTCTATCAGAATTTTCACCACAAATTCCTCTGAACATGTTCAATAGAAATTTCCTTTGGTCTACATTTAAGTGCTTTTGAAGGCCTCGACCAACCATTTCCATCTCAGCCTGAGCATACAAATCAAGAACAAAAAATATTACTCCCTCCATCCCTCGGTTCCAAATAATAGTCTCATTTCATCGAGATACAACTTTTTTTAATACATTATGTTTCCTAACTCGCGTCGGACTAATTCTAAACCTCTAAAACCCCAGTCCAAGAACCTTAAACGAGGTAAATCTGGACTGTCTCATCCCTCATATTCCCACGTACTGATAGGTTCGGTGGACTCAGCATCAGGTTCCTAGTCACGTTACCAGTAGATCCAAGCTCCCAGACGGTTTGGGTCATTTTTTGGGGAAACCATTAAATTTAAAATAAAAAAAAGCTCTATGAGGTGGAGTCTTAGGAAGCCTTGTTTTATCCCCTTCCTCTGCTTGTTTCCTGTTTAGTAGGAGCTATATGGATGAAGGTTGCAGCTCTTTCTATAGAATAGTAGATAGATATTGTACACTGAAAGATTTTAGGCAAATTGGAGATTAGTTGTACTCTTCTTTATTACCCAAACTAATAAAGTTCTTATCCCATCGCATCATATTTAGAGTCCGTTTGGTACACGGAATTGATGGAATTGGGAGTTGAAATTCTATGGAATTGATTTGGATGAAATTGAATTCTCCAATTCCAATTCATTTTTGGCACTACCAATTCCAAATCCACATACTCCCTCCGTCCCTAATTAGATTACAATATTCCCTCTTATTTTTGTCCCAAAAAGGATTACAAAGTGTTTACTTTTACACTAAATGGACTCTTTTACCCTCCCTCCCCTTTATCATTTCAATGTCAAATCTCACCCACCCACCCATTCCTATACTATTTGGGGGGGTAATTTGGGAAAAAAAATATTGATTTGACTCTTCCTTAATTTTGTCTAAAATGGAATATTGTAATCTAAAAGGGGACGGAGGGAGTATTTTTTTGCTACCAAACAGCAAAATTGAAATTGTTGTCCTCAATTCCAATTCCATAGTTTGAATTCCGTGTACCAAACGGAGCCTTAATTCCTTTTTTGTCATGATGCACTACCAATAAGCTAATAAAAACTACTTGCTTCTTACTTTCTATGAAGTTTTCGGTAGTGCAGCAGTGCAACAAGGGTCAAACAGAAAAAAACAGTCTGTTTTCCAATGTAAGGTTGCGTACATCGTGACCCCTGGCCCCCCGACACCCCAACAAAGTTGGGATTTTACCAGGCTTCTTGTTCATGTAAAAAATGAAGTGCAAAGAAAAAATATTTAAAAAGAAAAGTCAAATTTGCAATGCCACATAGAACTTGGTAAAGTTCAAAGTGAAGTGATAGTTAAGTGTACATGGGAGAAAGTCATTGGATAATCTACTGTGGGTAGAACAGAGAGAAAGAGACTACTACATAAAAGAGGGGAGCTGGCTACCTTCACAGAATATCATAATTGAATGAAAAATTAACCATTTTTAATAGCTTTAGCTGGACACCTAGTTCCTACATCAATGATGGGGGTGGGGGCAGGGGGTATGCATGACTAAGTCATAAATGAATTAGCACCCTTAGGAACCAAAAAAAAATATTTTGATCTTTGAATCGTTTACATACCGAGCACTCCTCAGGGGGGAATATCTTGTGAATGAAACATATTTTTCTAAGTTCATCAACAGCTCCTACATGTTTGCTCTGCATTTCAAGGGCCTGAAATTTTGTGAGTAGATGTGGGTGAAATTCTAGTTACATCAGTCAAATAGTTACATGTAATATTTAATAATCTCGTCATTGTTCTACAATACTCTCAAAGTGCACATGATGAATAAGTGCTTGTGTGCTAGTTTGAGATATTGACAAGTTGGAGAATTATTGCGGCTTTAAGAAATTTAAAGAGCTTAGAATTGGAGGAATAGAGCCATAGACACTAGGCCTCAATTGGATTAAGTATTTAATCTGAAAACTGAATTACTAGGAATTGCATAACTGGAAATGTGATAAAGTCATGTATGGGATGATAGTGAATGCACCCAGCATATGGTGGAGACGTTACATGCATCCAATTCTAGAAGTTGAAGACTCGCATAGTCGCATGAATTAGTCCTGGGTTATATGAACAGTTGGACACAAACGTGGGAATTAAATACAATTTCCAGGAATAAACTTTTACTCAGGAATCAAAACCCAATTCAAAACAAACATAAACTCCTAATCTTATGAATTATTGTGTATAAGAAATCTACTGATCTTAAAGCAGATAGCTTACCCATGCCTGCAAAAGCCTGGACCTAGTACGTGCAGCAACAGCCGCAGACACCATTCTTGCAGCTCTAGTGTTCTCAATGTCAATATTATCTGCAAGTCCTGCAATGAACTTCTGCACATCTTCACCATCAATGTGAATAGGTCCCAGTTGATTCACTGTACTGCAGAATTTTGAAGTTACTATAATTCTAGAAATTGGACATACAAAAAATACATTCAAGTGTTGAAGGCATATGTGAAAACTGATGCTGTACCTTTCACAGAAGTTCAGAACATAATCAACGGATGTACGATAGAGAGAATCTCGAGCATGTTCAGTGGAAAAAGAGACCCTCACTTTAGATGGTTTGCATATTTGTCGTAACTGTTGGTGTAAAATGAAAAAAAACAGAAATTAACTGCAATTGTCATACAATAAATCAGGAATTTTAAGAAATTGATGCAATCTTTGAGAAACTTGTTATCTTTAAACTAGCTAATAGTTCAATGGCGAAATATGGATCCCATGTTTTGGGGTGCTTAATCTGGTACTCTCTGCTTATGTTTTCCTTATTCCACCCAAATTAAAAGTCTAATTGGAATGAAACACTGAATACTAGCTGAAAGAGGGAATATGTCTGTTTTCTTGAAAATGCTTTGCGTCGTTTGTGAGCCTTGTACTTGCATGTTTAAAAGAACATCAGTTAAGATTTATACTTACAATCAAAACATCATTTTTGCTATAAGAGAAATGAATTGCAACATTTTATTTCCAAGGAATAGGAACAATAATATCATTTTCCACCTCCATATATTTTCTACATTGCCTAGCTTCACTTTACTAAGACCATTAACTTTCTATTATTTTATAAGTTATACACTTTTACTCACAGAAAACACCTTAACATCAACATCATTATGGTCGCTACAACTTTAAATTTAGCTAAGAATATATCAAACTTGTGCAGTTGCATATCTTCAATAAGCACACCAACAGAAATAGCAAGAAAAAAGAATTAGTTATCCCAGTTTACACCTAAAATTATATACAAAATGATATAAATGATTGAGGCCAATAAATACTAACTTGAATAATATCATTCTCCAAAACATCCCTTCCGCTCATTCTATTGTCCAATATGGCTGGAAATCAAATTGTAAGCTGTGGTTTAACAAATAAAGCAATATCATAGTATTGACTGAAGCTTCTGAAGATACAAACTCATATATATTTAAAACAAAATATCCCTTTTGAGCTTCACAAACAGAAAAAGAAGTCTTAAAGTAAATTGTCTATGCTTATTAATGATCAAGTGATCATCATTCTTAATTTTATTTTTTGAAAAGTTTGATGACAAGGTAAAGATCTTCTAACTTAAAGGTTTTTATAGAGGAACTGGGCAACAACAAATGTTGCAACATACTTTTCTGAATCTTCTGGGTCTGAAGAACATGCTACAAGGGGAATACGGGATATTATCTCATGGGATTAAGGCTTGGTTATTGCTAATGATATTTAGGTTTTGTAATAACAAAACATTAATATAAGTGCTTTGGTTTTCCATAAAAACATTAACAGTAGTCTACTGCTTTCTATTAAAAATCAAGTCTCAAAATCTATGATTCCTTGATGGCAAAGGCTAATTAGTACTTGGTATAACACATATTTTGGGTTTTCTTCCCACCTCTTCAAAGAGTTAGATACCAGCAGTAGATTAGTAGAATTGACACTTGAAAAAGAACTCAACTAAAGGACTAAAGGTCCAAAATAGGCATCAAAGTGTCCAACCACAGATGGTGTGATGGATACAAAATGGAAGCCAGATACCAAGAGTGAAAGATAGCTTACATGTGATCATGAAAATTGTTGTAGATCTATGATGATCCAAAAAGGATCACAGGCTTAATTGCAAATAGGGGAAGAAGGTGTTTGAATTTGTGATTAGGTTGAGATTTGGTTGAGATCCGGAACTTGCTGTGTTGGGATTTATTTGAGATCCTGAAACTCCTTGTCTATTTGATAAATCTCTGCTTGTATTTTTCCACAGCAAACCTCCCTTATATAGAAACTAAACCACTAATCCATAAACTAAATAAGTACAGAAATTTAAACCCAATAAGTACAGAAATTTAAACCCAATACAACGCCGCCACTAAATAAGTACAGTCCCAAATTACTACAGAAACTAAACCACTAATCCATAAACTAAGATATTCTGCCATGGTATAGAAACTAAATCCAAATTAATCAAATAATAGTACTTCTCAATCACGCAACAAACATGTTTGTGGATTTATAATGAATAAATGTTCATAAGCGTTCAAACCAAATAATGTTCAGGTTGAGTTGGATGATTAAAAATGGAAACATCGATAATTAAGCTGGGCATCAGCTTGTTTAGTTTTGTGAACTAACAACGAACAAAACTTTGGTTACACGAATGAATTACGAACTACTTTTTAATGAACCCAAATAAATAGCTCACTAATCAATTAGTTTATTGTCCACTCTTCATAATAAATACTTCCACCGTTCCAAACTAATTGCCATGATCAAAACTTTGCACTATCCACAAACCCTCATTTGACCATCTTTTGTGATCGATACGTAAGTAAAAATAGTCATCTGGGATCTTATTAGATTCACCTTGATAAAAGCTTCATTAATATCATTTTTTATAATTTTTACTAAGACACAATTGAAGATATTAATGGTTTAATTTTTGCATTGAAAAGCATGAAAAAGCAAGTGTTGCAATTATTTTGGAATGGAGGAAGTGCATTATACATACACACATACACTTACACGCACAAAACAACTCCAATTGGAACACTAATGGTGCCCCAATCGCAAAATTGATGGTTCCTACCCCGCTAAACCCTCATGCCCCCAACGCAGCCCCCCGGATCGCCGGTTGGCTTCCGGAATTTCTTGTAGCCAACCAACAATCCAACGGAGGGGGGGGGGGGGGGTAGGGGTAGGAACCATCAATTTTGCGAACTGGCATCATAAGTTCCCAAAAAGGTATTAGCACCGCAGTGTCAACTGTTAACCGAGGCCAGTGTCCTTTGAACCGTGTCGTTACAATATTTATTCATGAAATGGACATGATAATAACTAACTTAAAGCTCAACTCACTGGCGTCTTATGGTATTCTACACATATGTTAAATGAATCTATGTTGATGATGGACAAATCGTAAGAGGATTGAAACATTGGCATCCGATGCAAAACATTGCAACTATGTTTTTTGCATAGAGTTAACTGTTAAGTAATTTTAAATGTCATTAGATATTTAATAATTCATATTAAAGTATTAATGATGATGATACTAACACATTCAACAATCTAAAATATTGACCACATATATAATTAAGTTTAAGACCAATAATTCAAAAACATGCAGAGGTTTCAAAGATCTTTCTGGTCTACTATCATTCAAGTTGGACTAAACAAACCTTTAGTTTCAGAGGTGAAAACATACAACAACAAATTTGATGTAATCCCAGCTCTTTCAGGATCGTTTAAGGTTGAAGGTCAAAATGAATGCAACTTTACCATGTAAGAAAACATTGATGTTGTTTCTATCAAGCCCTTGGTGCATTTACTACCCAAAACATCATGGAGTAGAACATAAGAAGCAAATGAAGTTTAATGTGTGGTTTTAATTGGTACAGTAGTTACCTAAAGCTAAAACTTTGTCAATAATGATTCTTTAAGCTTCATTGGAAATGGACAGACCTCATCACCAGAACACTATGGCTAATTTCACAATTAACTCTTTTTAGTTGATTAGAAGTCGTTTTTGCTTAGATCCGGCACCTAGAGAACTACTTAGGGAGTTTTTTTTCGT